CGGCTGTCTTGCGCGGAAGCTCCGCCGCCAGACACCAGCGGATGCACTCGTCGACTAGGATGGCGAAGGTCTCCTCGAATATGAGAAAGAGGTCAGTCTGGACCCTGTAGTTAAAAGTGCTCGGACAACATAGTTTCTATTTGCGGTTAAGTATTTTTTTTCGTTTTTACGTGGCACACTCCTTGCAGCAGTCGACCACCTTGTCGACCAGGTCGAGCACGTCCTTGCCAGAGGCCCGCCCGGCACAGCATCTCCTGGAGATCCATGGTGGCAGCGTGTCAGAACTTGACATGGATGCCCATGGTGATGGCCTTTTTCTCCTTGACCGAGGCCATCGGGTCATGGGGCGCCTTCTTGGCTGCCTTGGGATCGAAGCTCGACCCGATGTATGTCGGCGGATCCACAGCTTCAGAAGGAGGCCCCGCTGCTGCTGCTGCCGCGGGCGCAGCAGCTGCTGCTGCGGGAGCTCCGTCAGCGGAAGCGGCTGGCGCTACTGCCTGAGCTGGCGCTGGAGACGCCGCGGGTGCATCTGGCGCCGAAGCTGGCGCAGCTGGCGCTGCGACTGGCACCGCGCCCGGTGGAGGATGATGAATTCCAGGTGGAGGTGCAGGCGCTCCTCCTGCTGCATCGGGAACGCCTCCAGGCGGCATGCCTTGGCGCCCTGGCGAAGACCTGCATCCTGCCGCTCGCGTGCGTGGCGCCGTGGGCGCATTGGTGCCGTCGGCCAGCTTCTTGTGGAGGCCATGTCGACACCTCTCACAGCTCCAGAGGTGCGTGTAGAACAGCGACGGCTCGTCGCTCTCCTTGATGACTCCTGTCTGCAAATAATCGCGTAGATCATGAACGATGGCTGCCGCCGTCGGTCACGGACAGACAGTCGCCGCAGCTGTCTCGTTGATGCTGGTGCCGGGAAACGAACCCTGCAGCGCCGAGTGCTCGGTGCACTTCGAGTCGCCGTGACACTTGCGCAGCGCGCGCTGCAAAGTGATGTTGGTCATATGCAGGAACTTCGGTTTTTTACTGGAACTCCCGTGGATGGATCTGCTGCTCCGAGCTGACTTTGATCAAGATGCCCAATGGAGCGATGGACTTGAGCGGCCTAGCTCTTGAGAGTCACCGAGCCACGTGGGTTCTCGAGAACGCTCGCCCGCCCATCTCGACGTGCCTTCCGAAGCCGCTGAGCAACCCACTGCATGTTTGGACACTCTGCTTGGCGAGGCGTTTGGAGCTTCGAGGCCCCCATGACTGTCGACGCCGACCACGGTGAGCATCGCGGCGACCAGAACTCTGTCAGGCTGGCCAGAATTCTGTCGATCTTGCTGAGCAAGTCTCGGTGCGCCTTGCGACGTAAATCCCAGCCACGTCTGAAATATCGTGGGAAACTGATCGCCAGGCCCGACATGCATGCGCATATTTAGAGTCTGCCAGATCCGCCCATGCTCTCGCAGAAGTCCAGATCGTGAAACTCCTTGGATATCTGCTGACACCACTCCTCCGCATTGTCTGGAGCGATGACGATCAGGCCACTGAAGTAGTGGAACTCCTCAGGCATGCACACGTAGTACGTCTCCAGCTGTTGTCTCTCCTTCTCGCCCATACCAGTTGGCCAGAGATGGTGAGAGTAGGTCTGGCCTGACCTGACGCACTCGCCCAGCTGGAGGTGAGCTTCTTGTTATGCCGCTGTTTCAGACGTTTAAAACCTCGGCGATCTGGAGCAAACAGTGCAGCTGCTGTCGGCGAGACTGTTGCTCGATGAACTTCGCGGTTCGCTTGACTGCTGAATGTTGTAGCCTCGGTCGGAGAACTTTGAGTGTGTCCAATACCTGCCCTTTCAACTTCTAAGAGTGGGGGGCCTTCGATCTCCGACTTGTTGAAGTGGAACGCCCACTCGATGTTTGCTGAAACTCCTCGCTGATACTTGTTGAAGCAGTGGGCCTTGAGATCTTTCCAAATATCTTGTTGTTCCTCAGCGATCTCCAGTGCAGTCTGTTCGAACCTGTTAGTTGGTAGGAGGTAGCGATTCGAGCCGGTGTGCAGAATCCGAACCAATGCCACTTGATGAGGATCTTCCTTTCGTCTGCCGGGGGCTGAGATGATCATGATGCCGCCTCGGTTGTCGTAGACGCCGCAAGCTACCAACGCCTTGCAATCCACCGCGCTTGGCAGAGGCACCAGACCAGGACACGCCGACCCTTTGTTGCTGGTCAGGTCGGTCGAGCAAGTAGCTCCTGGTAGTCCTGGAACTCCAATGGTCCAGGTTCGGGTCTACCGCCGACGCCCGTGAACGTGGAAGTAGAGGGGGCGAAGTGCACCTCGTTCATGGTGCCCAAAGGCTCGACGATCCTGTCCAGGTAGACGCGCAGCGTGTCGGTGCCCATGAGGGCTGAGGATGCTCCTGCATCTACTCGGAGTCCCAGTCTTTCCACGCCATGAACGACGTGCATGGCACCGAACGTCTCGCTGCTCGCTGGGTAAGTGTAAACCATATTGATCGTAGCCGTCGTCATGAAGATGGACGTAGCAATGGTCATGAGAAATATATTTCTTTGCAGCGGGCCTGTCGGAGGTCTGGCCGCTCCTGATGCTGACGATGACCCAGGCGTCGGTGCTGACTGATCTGTTGGGAAGTTGAAAACCGTCGTCTGCTCTGCGGGTGTAGCTACCGGCGTGTCTGCGTCGAACTTCGCGCCCAGCTGGGTAGTCAGCTTGTCTGGATGGGCGATCTTCGGCCGCGCCACTATCGACGCAGATGGCGACCCCAGGGTGATGAGTTCTGGCTCTGGAGCTATCGCGTCTCCGCAATACGAGTCAGTCACACCATGAGCGAAGCAACTGCTTTCTTCATCGTAACTTTCGCATTGCCATGGGTCGCCCTCGCAGTAACTACTGCTATGGCCGTTCCTCTTGCCCTTGCTGTTGATACTGCTTCGCCGCGGTTTGCCGCAACCTTTGCCGCTAGAGCGCCCGCCCTTACCACTCTTGCTTGACTTGGACTTGTTGTTGCGGCACTTGCCTTTGCTACTGTTCCGGTGCTTGCCCTCCTTGCCATAGTAGGTCGCCCGTCTTCGAAGGCGAGCCCGACGTGGCCCGACGATAGGGCGGCCCGTGCTCGAGTGCAACGGCGAGCCGCATGTAGTGCATCCGTCCGACGATGATGTCTTGTCTCCGCTCTTGCGGCCGCCTCGTCCTTTCCTGCCGCCGCGGCCTCGTCCTTTGCCGCGTCCTCGGCCGCCTCCTCCGCAGTAGTCTTCCTCCGCGTAGTCGTCGAGCTCGCCATCGTGATGGGCGCCGTTCTCTTCGTCGTAGTTGCCGCCCCAGCCGGTGCCATCTCCCAACGTGCCGGGGGCCTTCCTGCCATTCATCTTCATAGCCAACCCACATCCAGGAACCAGCTGATGCCCAAGTCTCTGGACTTCCGCATTTTGAGTCCCAGTGCGAATTTTCGTCTTGCCAGTGCTGTGAGACCATCGCGGGCATCGATGATGTAGTTCCTTGAAACCCACGAGTGGCCATCCTATGCATCAATGCTACGTGCTCGAGGAAGCGATTCAGATCTCCTTGCATCTGCATGCGCAAGTGCGTTCCCATCTTCTCCGAAAGGCCCGACATTTGCAGCCGCGAGAAACTCTTTCCGACGTCGTTGAGCTGCAGGCCCCCTCTGTCCGAGGCCTCCTCGAAACACAAGCGAAACATCGTGAAGAAGTCGCCCATCGGAAGGCGACGTCTGGTGAATGAGAAGAAACTCGACAGGGCCACGATGGGCATATTATGATATTGAACTTCGAACTCCTGGACGAGAGTGTCCATCAGGACAGAGGCCCCTGCCGGTTCAGCAGGGCGCAGTCCACCTGCAGCGCGCTGCCACTCAGGGTGAGAGGGTTGAGCTAGCAGTTCGTCCCCTTCCATCTCGCGTCGTACTCCTGCTGTGAGGTCCAGCCTGTCGCGCTTCATCTTCAATGCTATCTGGAACGCTGAGACACCGAAGCGTCCTGCCACTGCTGGACCTGATGCATACTCGGCCAACTCAGATTACCTCCATCATAGTCTGAGCAGCTGGACGTAGCGTCGCAGAGGATACTTGCCGTTGCCTGGACGCCATCCTGGCGGTGTGTTCTTGTTGAACGTGTCAAGAGGTATGCCACCGCCGCTGCCTCGAGCGTCTCCGTAGTCCATAGCTGCGTGCGTCCACGCAGCAGTCCGAGTGTTGATGTCGATGCTGAAGGTGATGAGGATTGGTGAAACTGCAGCTGCAAATCGCGCGTACAATGAGCCACTGGAAGCTGCTCGCGTACTTTTGCTGCTGCGGATACATGTAGAAGTTCTCGTCGAAATCGACGCTGAACCGGAACCAGAACGGCGAAGCTGACGGCAGAGAGACGGCGAGTCTCAAAGGACCTGCCACCACAGCAACGCTACCAAAGTTATTTTTCCAGCGTTAGCTCTCGAACCAATGGTTTGAGCCATAGTTGTCACGGATAGTCGAATAGCATCCAACCACATCCTGAACATATATCTGATAGTTCTGAAGCCTCTTACCCCGACCGCATACACAATCTAACTGAAGGGAGAGGGGAGGAGCCAAGTTAGGCGCGATCTTGCACCACATCTGACATCCTACCCCACCCCACCTATCCATTCTGTTTGTTCCTCTGACGGTTCCCTGAATGGGTCCCCCATGCAGCAGCTGCGAAATCCAGGTTCACGTAAGAACGAGTTCAACAATTACACAGACAGCTGACTACATCTACACATGCATCGATCGTACATGGCGTGCAAAGTACGTGTTGCGCTAAGGCAAATCTCGAAATAAATTCGTGAATTCAGACTTGGAGACAGACAGTGAACGCCCGGCTGAACCTACCCTTCGAACCGTACTCGCTTGCGTGCCCGGGGCCTCACCATCGATGCCGCAAGCGTGATTGCTCGGATTGCTCCGTCCGCCACGATGGCCTCACAGACGAAGGCCGAATCATGCTCTGGAAGAAACACAGCTGCGGCAGCTAAGATTCTGGGGGCACTCTTCCGCGTGGATGGACAGCGAAAGCGACCCAGGCCGCAGTGCCACTATCTCCTTGCAGCCCACCATCTGAGTAGATCTGCGCGGCTGGGATCCCGAGCAGGTCCGTGGAAAGATCCGGGCCCCAATCGAAATGTATGTTTGTCCTAGCTCTGATGGCAGCGCTGCGCAACGCATCATCGGCTCTATTGAACTCCCTTGGTCTCCAATCGTGCGAGGCCAAATGTTTCCCCTTGTAGTCAAAGACGTCCCCGTACAAGGTCGCCAGGGCACCATGCACTCTGGAGACAATTGGCTCTGTGACTGGGTTGCTGCATGGCACAATCATGTTGAAGAGTTCGACCAGCACCTGGGAATCCATGGCGAACTCAAGCTCAATCCGGCCAGGGTACAAACTCCAGAGCCTGTCCCGCTGCAAAACAGAAGGCGATGGTAGATCTCGTAATGTAAATTCGTCTCCCTGTAGCTCCGGCTCGGGGGCAAGAGACACAATCGCGGCATCGCGAACACTGCTGACGTCCAGTCCAGGGGGTCCGAGGTCGTCGCATGCGCGGTCGACAAAATCACGCTTGCCTCGCAACCAATCCCGGCGAGATCCGCAAGTATCCAGGCGGCGCCTCCAAGAGTCGCCCCACACTGCCCGGAAAATGTCGCCATACGTTTCGGATGGCCTGCCCGGCCTACGAAACACCTATCCCCCGATATCTCCACGCACCGCCATCGGTACAGTCGATTGCAGAGCCCAGTCGCCTGGATGCCGGTCGCAGCGCACTAGGGCCGCTAACTTAGCAGAGGACTTTTCCCGCCACAAAGAAGAATAGGCCTGCCCGAGCATGAACGCGTGGAACTGCGGAACCCCTGCATTCTTCAACCTTTCACATATCTTCAAAGCTGTCGCGCTCAGAAACTCTTTTCTGGTTTGGCTCTGGTTCGGCCGCATGCAAAAAAAGTGTTCGGAATTGTTTCCGCTCCCATGTGCAGATATCCTTCAAAGTGCAAGCCTTGCAAGGCATGAAACGGAGGAGGAAGGAAGCAATTGAGCGAGGCACCGACGAAAAAACTTGCAACTTTATAGATACTGGCGCATTCCCTCGAAAATGCTTCAAATGCCCGTAAAAACTTTTGTCGGCTTTGACCAAACGGTATTCCAGAAGAGCCTGCTGGGGGCGGTCGTTGGCAAAAACGCCTCCGAGGACTTCGATCCGGTCTTTCACTGCGAAGGTCAAGGCAGCCGTGGAAGAACGAACGACCCGGGAAGCACGGAGCGGGGTGAGCCCTACCGCCAGTATTTCCAAAGATTTGGGCTTCCACTTCCACCCGAAGTGGTTGGCCAGCACGTCCGTAAGCATTGGTGTCATGAAGTCCGCCTCGGCCCAGGAGCGAGCCAGCAAGAAAACGTTATCCACCCAACTCGCCTCAATCAATTGCCGGCCGGAGTCTAGCAGCCTGAACCCGTAGGCCATGGTGTCCCACTCCAAAGCGCACTTCGACATAGCTTCGTCCATCATCATGACAAACTTCTCCGGGTCAGTCTTGCCACCCGTCCGGAGAGCCCGAGTTTGATTGATAGGGCCGTGCTGCGCTACTCCAGGGATATCGAGCGTGACCTGAGAACCAAGCATGTTCCGAATCATGTTCAAGACCTGCGAATAAGTGGCCCCCTTGGAAAGATAAACGTCCACCACATCCAAGAAACGGACAGAATCGTACGCCGTCAACACGTCCATACAATATATCGCTAGATCGGCGCCTTTCCTGCGCAAGGCGTAGCATACGAGCTCGAACAATAAAGCAAGCATGTCCTCTACTGATTGGTTCCGCTGGTAGCCGAAGGCGAAAGACTTCAACCGTCGAGGCATGGTTGTTGGAACAGATGCCAAAGACCACGCGTCATAGAGCTTGAAAAGGTGGTCCATGAGTCCAATCCATCTGAAATCGTCCAATGTGACCGCAGACCGGTTCTCCATGATCCCTCTGACCACATGTTCACCCCAAGTATCAGGAGCCTGTTCATGCCAAGTGACATCAAACCAACGTCGGCGAAAAATATGGAATATCCTGAGCTTAAGCCACACAGGCGCAAGCTTCCAAGCTTTGGGTAGTATGCCGTCTGGGCCTGGGCTGGAATTGGTCGATAATGAAGTCAACATCTTGACGAAATCATCTAGGCTAGGAGGCCTGCTAAGACGATCATGTTTCTCGCTGGTCGCCACACCTCGTCTATGTTCCACCTTATGCTGAAGCCGGCTTTGATCGTCCGCGCTGGACGAAAACTTCGCCTCCGCAACGCGCCGAAGCTCAGCCGCCCATGCGTACCGATCAGCAGACACCACACCTCCGATGCTGAGTTCGACTGGCGGGACCGATCCCCAAAGTGGTGGATCGATCATCTTCAGCAGCGTGCGCTTGTTATGGGTACCCTTCCTTTTAGAGTGCAGTGCAAGCGCCGATGGAAGACAAGGATCTCGAGGCGGTCGGCCCTTCCTCTCCCGAACAACTTCTACAAACTTTTCCTGATCAAGTCTGTGGGGGCAGGCGGAACGACGTGAGGAGGATTCGAGGTGATCTGCAACATCGTCGATGGCGCTCTGCACAGCCCGCACACAGCCGTCCAGGGAGTCACAAGTCGCAGCACAATTCGCCAAAGATCGCCAATAAGTGGTCCTGGTGCTCATGTCTGTGGTGTCCCAGCGCCCAGCGCCGTTGCGCCTTGATTCTGGCCGAAAGCTCTGGCCTAGGTAGGGCCACGCACTCAGTGATGCCCTGGATTTGTCTGGCCACAATCGGGTAGTGGTCAGAAAGACGGAGCTCGCATCGAAAGTCAGAGTCGACAGCCTGGTCAGTGTAAGCAGACATTCTGCCCTTCAAATTGGACGCAATGTAATCAATCTGAGTCTTGGTCCTTGCAGCCCGAGTCCGGCCTGGCCTGGTAATGAGGAGGGAGGGGTCACCAACCTCAGAAAAGGTGTTTTCCAAGGCCATACCAGAAGCTACCAAGAAAACAATGAGATCCCTACGTGCCCGATCCGAGTGACCTGCATGCGAGAGCCGGCTCGGTCCGATCAAGTCGGTGATCTCGTGATTGAAGGAGACGTTAGCGTCCATAAGCAAGAACTTCTTTGGATTCCGTCCTGACCTGACAACAACGGAATCAGCATGTACAAGATCGCAGGCAAGCAAATCAAGAGTTCCCCGGTCCACTGTAGAATGGCGCTGGTAATCGGTAAGATGCAAAGAGATAAATATACAGTCTGCCACGGTGACGATGCTGTAGCTGTCGTCGTGCTTCTCCCACGTGATGTCAGAAGCGAGGGCCACGGGCATGACGATCGCACATCTCTTGCCTAACTGCGTACGGCATGCAAAATGACGGCCAGCGCTCAACGGCCACTTGGGAACTTCCTGAAGACCTGCAGTCAAATGCTCCCCGTACCGAGCCCTCATGCATCGAAAGACGTGCTTCATGCGAGACGGAGGTCTCTTCTGAGCGTTCCAAGACACCAGGGCGGCTGCCAGCGATGACATCGAGAAGGATGTAAGCAAAGTCGACTGTCAAAAGCTACTCACAAGAAAAAGCGCCTTCGCCTGTTACACGAAAAAGCCATGGGAGAAACCTAAGGCTGTGTAACTTGTGCTGATAATGGGAGCTTACGAAAAGCGGAATATGAGCTCAAGATCTTGACTTGAGACTTAAGATTACTTGAGCCAATTTTCTTGAGCCAAAATGGCTACGGGTATCACAGCGGACTTGGAACCCCCCAAGGGTCCCCATTGTCGTGCGGAATGACACACGAGGAGCTGCGTACATTGGAAGAGAAAGTGGCGGACGCACGGCGATGAGCAGGAGGAGGAGGAGGCTCAGGAAGGAGGATGAGGAGGAATGGCAGCAGCAGGAGTGGGATAAGCGGGAAGAGCAGGACGACCAGGGAAAGGCGGGGGAGTGGAAAGGAGTGGGGCGGCAACGATGAGGAAGCACTCAGATTCAGAAAAGTGGCCTTTGCTGTGGTGGGAGCGCCATTGTGAACGATGGGAGCAAATAGCCGATCCAAAAATGCCAACGCTGCAGCGGGAACATCATTTCGAGACGCCGATCACGTCCCGAAAGAAGCCATCGGAAATCCGCCACCGCGCTTGCTGCGGGTGGTGTGCGTCGGGTCCTTTCGCTTTTTGCGAAGCAATAGTTAAGGCCCACGGGCGCATCGAGCCCAAGATGCGTTCATGTTGTTGTCAAGTCCTTGCGTTGTTGGTCTTCCATATTGAAGGCGGTCCCAAATCCGCCGCCGTGCCCTCGGGCACGAGTTGAAGTGTCCTCATGTCCCCTGCTCGATCCCCTGAGCCTCCGTCCTCAGAGGAGTCTTTAATGTAAGGAGTCTTTCATTGAGGGGTCTGGACCCCAAACTATCAAATCTCCTTGGGCTTGACGCGATTCACCTGGGCTCCCCCGAATGGTGGCGCATGACTATTTCGAGGCCAAGACGGGCCCAAGACGGGCCAAGAGCCCTCCCAGAGCCCGCTCAGACGGTCACCTACGAATCGCTACGCGATTGGTCCAAGAAGCTCAAGGTGGCTCCGATTTTCGAGCTTCCGACGCTACACAAAATCTCAAGCGACCCCAAGACCGGCCCAAAGCCGCCCCGGAAGCCCCCACGAGGGTCCCACGGCTGCCCCAAGACTGCCCAAGGGAGCCCTAAAACGGCTCCAAGAGGGGCCCAAGAATGCGAGCCCGAACCGAAGACACCTCTCCCAAGACGCCCCAAGAGGGACGGTAAGGGATCTGTGGACCCTACCTCCCGAGCTTCTCGACGCCGGCCCCAGGAAGCCTCGGAGAGAATGTCACAGAAGGGCAAGAAGTGCGATGCTGGACTTGAAGACGGCCACTGTTTTCCAAGTCGGACGCGCTGGCCCGCTGCGGCTTCCACGACGACCAAGCATCGACTCGAACACGGCAGCGCTGGCCCCAAAGCGGCCCCCTGACGCCGCCAAGAGGGCCCCATAGGGCAACAAGAGGCCTTCTAGGATCAGGACGCCTTCGGGAGGCAAAACCTTGTAAAACATGTAGCTGCCCTACCAGTTGAACGTTCTCGCGTTGTCGGTCTCGACAGAGTTCAAGATGGCCCACGAAGCCCTCAAGATCGCTCCAAGACGGCCCCAGAGACCCTCACGAGGTTCAAACGTTACCCTCAAGACGCTCAAAGAAGTTCCAAGAGGTCCTCCCCAAGGCCCCGAAGAGACCTCCAAGAAGCTCCAACAGGGCCCAAATAATTAGGCTCCGAAGAGGCTCCCAACAAGCCCCAAGAGGCCCCCAGAAGTCCCCAGAGGCCCTCAAGAGTCCCCTAGAGGCCCAACAAGCCTCACAGAGGACCCCACGAGGCTCCGACAGGCTTCTAAGAGGCCCCCGGAGGGCTTCGACGCACTCAGCGAGCAACGTCGACAAAGGCAGTTTTTTCAGCTCCCTAGTAGGCAGCGCAAGGACCATAAAACGCCGTGTCTGCGCACCACTGCGGCTTGCCTGCGCAGCTTCCACGAGGGCGATTGCGGGTATGCGCGTCAACGCAACTGGGTACAAGCTTTTCAGATCCTGCACGGGAAAACATTCTGCGGAGAGGGGCGTGGCCCTCCCTGGGAGGGAGGAGTAGCACTCGTGCGGAGCACGTAGTTCTGGGAGGGATGGGGAGGGCAGGGGAAGGGGGAAGGCAGGGTGCGCCCTTGGAGGCGTGCGGGCGCAGTGGCCCGCTCAGAGCTGCCCGCAATCGGCGATGACCACGGGCTTGGACGTTTTGCCGGACTGCGAGCCCACGGCCTCGGCCTTCTTCACGACGTCCATGCCCTCGGTCACGGAGCCGAACACGACGTGCTTGCCGTCGAGCCAGGAAGTCTTCACGGTGCAGAGGAAGAACTGCGAGCCGTTAGTGTTGGGGCCCGCGTTCGCCATGGAGAGGATGCCGGGGCCCGTGTGCTTGAGCGTGAAGTTCTCGTCCGCAAACTTGCTGCCGTAGATGGACTCGCCACCTGTGCCATTGCCGGCGGTGAAGTCGCCGCCCTGGCACATAAAATCCGGGATAACGCGGTGGAATGCGCTACCCTTGAAGTGCAGGGGCTTGCCCGACTTGCCCGTGCCCTTCTCCCCCGTGCAGAGGCAGCGGAAGTTCTCCGCGGTTTTCGGAGCCACGTCGGCCCTCAGCTCCATGACGATCCTGCCGGCGTTCTCTCCGCCAATCGTCATGTCGAAAAACACCTTGGGGTTGGCCATGGCGGCGAGATGTGCGGCAGCACGGCTCCTCGAACGCCTCGGGATATCTTCGTGGGCGCTTGAGCCAGAATGGCTACGAATGAAGATGAGGATAATGGAAAATTAAGAGGAAGGATGAGGAAGGGGGGAAGGCGGCCACGTCGTGGCTACGCTGCCTGGGGCTCGGCCAGGGCAGGTCACCCGTGCTCATCACAAATGCCATTAAACAGCCTCCTAACCCAGAGGGGAAGCATAATACGGAGGAGGAGCAGGGGGACGAGGAGAGATGATGAGGATGGATGCCGTCCAAATCTGCCGACCCTGTCAGCGTGTCGAAGACGCCATTCAGTTTGACTCGACGTCGTCGTCGTCGTCGGCGTCGTCGTCGTCGCCGTCGTCGTCGTCGTCGTCGTCGTCAGCGCGTTTGGCCCCACTTTCCTTAGGCCCGCCACAACTTCCACTCTTTTCACGGGGCCCGCCCCCTCAAGCGAGCCAACCAAAGCGAAACCAAAACGACATTGAGCAACGTCGTAATTGAGTCGAATGGAAAAAACATCCTTTCTATCTCTTCCCAGCCCGGGGGGGGGTCTTCCCAGGTCAGAATACCATCCCCCTCCGGGGCGTCTGAGGCCCAAGAGGCCCCCGATGACGGTCCAAGAGGGCCTCGAATCGCCGAACCATTGGTTCAAGGAGTCCAAAACGCCAGAAATGGTTTCCTGACCGCCCGAGCGGCTGCCAAAATGATGCTCGAAGAAACCCCCCAAAGCACGCCAGGAGGATCCCAAACAGGCAAAATCCAAATTACGTTTTCAGGTTTTGAAGACTCTTGGCGCCCTCACGTTTTCGGCTTCTCGACGCCCTCAAACAACCCATGATGCCGCCATAGTCGACAAATAAGGCCCCCCCAAAGTTCCCAATGCGGACCCGAAACTACCCGAGAAAACCCCCGGACGGGACGTCCCAACAGGCCTCCAAAACGGCTCCACGAGGGTGCCCGCATGGGAACCCGAACGAACATTTCGAACCCTCGGCCCCGAAAAGCGTCGATGAAACCCCAAGAGGCTCCCAAGAAGCCCCCGCGACGCCCCAAAAGGCCCCCAAAAGGCCACCAGGAAGCCTGAATAATACATTGCCAACTCTCCGTTGGGAGGGGAGCTTTCGAAACCCGATGGAACGGCAAAACGTGTTCGTGTTATTCATGGTGATATCATTCCTGTAATAGTTTCGTGCTCATATCCAAGCGATTTATTGGGGAAGTAAGTATTCCCGCCAGTGCCTCAAATTTCGTGCCGTTGAGCTATGGCTAGGGCGAGGGTGACGATAAGCAAAGAGGCCCAGCAGGCGGGCACGCGGGCGCGCGGCGGGCGGGGTGGTTTCTTCCTCGCGACCGAAGACGAAACAGCTTTGGCAAGTCATCGATGCCAGGGCGGCGGCGGGACAGCGATGGTGAGGCAACGCGAAGGCGTGACTACATCAACTCCCCGACGAACTCCACTCGCGCGGGTGGATGTTAACAATTTGTCAAAAATCCATATTGCGCTTACATTGACAGAACGGCTCAGGAACCGACCCGAACCGGCCGAATCGAACCGAGCCGAACCGAACAGGTGCGAACCGCACCTTTTGTCAACTAGAACCGAACCGAACCGGAACCGAATGATACCCAATTTCGAACCGAACCGAACCGGACTCGATTTCGAACCGAACCGGGCCGGACCTGACGGAACCGCACAGAACCGGACGTCTCGGGGGCCTTGAATTTATGGACGTGAAGGAGGAGGGGGAGGAAGAGGAAGAGGAGGAGGAGGAGGAGGAGGAGGAGGAGGACAGGGACAGGAGGACAAGACAAGACAAGAGCACTTACGAGCCAATTGTTCGCTGTCTTGCTGGCTGATAAACCTAGAAGGCTTGAAATCAGTTCAACTGAGAATATGGATATGGCTCTGTGAGCGCTGTGTATTAGCGCCTACCAGCGGCCCTGCGGGGGGATTCCTCTGGCCTACGGAGGGACCAGACGGGGGCAAGCCGCCCCTCAGAGGCCCTCCAGAGGCACCTTATCCCCTGAGAGCTCTAGGGTGCGAGTCAAGAGGTCGCAATCCTACAATATATTAGCTTTCAGAAGCGGCCTGCATGGGGTCAGGCGCCTGTGGAGGTTGAGAGGGCGGAGCGAGCAGGGGGAAGGGGGAAGGGGGCTCGACCGAGGAGAGAGGTAAATCACCACGCATCTGTCGGACCCGAGAGGACCTCTGGAGCAGGGTTATAATATCCAGACAGGCTCCACTGGGGTTCCGATCTGATGAAACATATAGAATTTCCTAGTGCCTGCTGAGTACTCTAGGATGGGCTTGGCGGATCTAGCCTGCAGCTTAGCAAGCGCCTCATCATTCAGAAGTCCGTCTTTCAGTAGCTCAAGCATCCGCTCAGATCCAGAGATAGAAACCAAACGAGCTACTTCTTGTGCACCTGCTTCTGGACGGCTTCGTTCGACAGCCCGATGCGATTCAATAGTTTCTCTGCGTCCCTCTCCATCGCGCCTCGCGGCGCTGATCCTGGTTTGAACTGGCCCCCCTGCGCTTCCACTGCTTGCGACAGAGCCTCGTGCAACGTGAGGAGCTCCTGGCTGTCCTCCTCGCGAAGGACCAATGCCTGCTGAGCTGGAGCCACCATGAACTGTAACTTGAACATCTGGGGGTCTGAGTGTTGCTTCTTGTCGTAATGGCAGGCCCTGAGTCGAAGGAACCTCACGTGCTCTTGTACGTGTCGTAGTGCTGTCTGCTGCGGTAGCTTCACCACGATGTTCCAGTATCTGACCAGCGTCGCCTTGGCTTTGAGTGGAACATCTGTCGCTTCCTTGACCAGGTAGAATAAAAGTCCGAGAAATATCTGTGGCCACGGCGGGCCCAAGCCATGATCTTCGCCCTTCTCTTTGCACTTTACGTTGTAGTCCTGGCCTGCCGCCTGGATGATCGGCACCATGCCCGCTGTGGGCGGAACCAAATAGCATACGAAACATGCGCCTATGAGCTCCGCCAACTCGCGGCTGTTGTGCAAGGCGAGGCGGCACAAGATGGTGATGAGCGCCGCTAACGCAGAGCCCGCGCCCTCCTGGTTGCTGATGACTTCCTCCTGTAATTTGGCTAGCTTCTTGTCCTTCTGTGAACTGCCTTGCCCCGCTTCCAGTCCTCGTTTGCCCTGAGGCTTCAAGAACCAATCTGGATTTGCTGCTGCCTCCGCCATCGTCGACGACAGGAAGAAGAGTGAAGTGCTGCCTGATGTGGAAAAGCAGTGCTGGCGTCGAATCAGTTTGAGCCTCGCACAACGGACATTCGAAGGTCGTACTCTCGCTGGGCTGGTAGGTCGAACTTCTAGCATACACACACACTCCTGTCTTAAAGCTTTGGCACACGTGCTTGTAGGCCGAATTCCTAGCTTCGAAGACACTCTCGCAGACGAAGCACTGATTAGAGAAAATAGCTTGCCCAAGAATCGATCTGAGTCCGTGATGGTTCTGAAGATGAACGAGGAGCTGACGCTTACTATGAAAAGCACGACCACAGTAGTGAACGGGGCATCGATAGTCAGCTAGCGTATTAGATTCAGTGTGCTGGTCAACTACATTGCTCGGGTAGGGTATTTGATAGCCAGGAGGGGGTATAGCGATGCCAAGCCATTTTGCTCTGATAACCTTGGGGTCCAGGAGGGTGAACCAGTCAACGAGCTCGGGGGTGGTGAAGAGGCGGAAGGGCATTTTGTTAAACTCCTGGATCATTTCGTACTCGTTGTCTCCTAGGTCCTCAAGCGAGACGATGTCGTTTACAAACCGACGGGCCCAGGGGCATGCACATTCCGAGAGTTGTCCATTTTCGTTGATAATACAAAGTCCCTCCTCCTCCTCCACTCTCATAGTTCCCAAGAGAGCCCCCCATTCGGATTTATGCTTCAAAGGATCTCTGACCCAAGACTGATACCATTTGATACGCCTGGCACGGTATTCTATTTCAAGAGGCGCGATCCGCCAGTACCTGAACACATCCTCATTCGAGATTGAAACCATGTGGGTACCTATGAACTTAGTGGCCTCACCCCTCATGGCTTTCCTGGCATACAACAAAATACGTGTCTGGATCTTCTCAAGCTGGGTAGACGTTGGGATAAACGCTTCCAGGCCCGACAATGCTGGGCCCAAGATTCGACTGAGGAAGACTGTCCTTTTTTCAATGTACGGCAAGCGGTCCTGGTACCAATATCTTCCCATTGCAGCAAACCCTGCATCAATAGCTTCCAGCCTGCATGGGAGCTCGCTGGCGAAGGTGGAGTCCGCCCTGAGGATGCCTCCCAGTAGCCGAGCACGATCTTGGACCCGGCCTGCCAAAGGTAGTTTCCCGTCTCGAAAACGTCGTCGAAGTGACTGCGAGTTGGGGCCAAACACCGCCACCACGCTCTCGTTCTTCGAAGGATTGATCAGATAGTTGTGCTGCTGCATATTCTGTTGCAATATCTGCTCGTAAGCGAGTGACTTGGAACTAAGTTCAATGCCAGTATCCGCGTGAGTGCCAGAAGAAACTAATACTCGTGTAGCATCATCCACATAGCTGTGAAAGGCGAGGTCCAGCTGCTCAGTACCGCCGTCGTCCGTCGGGAGATCAATAACACACCATTGCGCTGTCTCATCCCCTGTGTCTGCATACTGGTCCTGCGTGCTGCTGAAGACTGTGCCAATGTCTCTCGTGAACACTTTCACTGCCCAAGGATCACCCTGTAGTGCTCCGACGTTTGGCTTTGCGAATAGTATGCCTTCGGGTCCTTGAAAACACACTGCTGCATTGAGAAACCTATGCCTGCCAAAACGTGCTTCGTGCTCTCGCATGATCGTATCATTACTAGCAGCCAGTGAGGAAAAAGATGTACTCCCAAAAGCATTCGTCACGTCTTTGTGGTCGCGTATGAAGGAGAGTCCTAGCCGTCTAAGTCGCCATCCAAGAGACTGTTGCACCATCATCGGGGTTTCCCTCCTTCTAGCCGCAACACATCCATGTGCAAAATTCGGTTCGACATTGCGTTGAGAGGGACAGATACAACTCGCTATAAAAGCCTTTCCAAACGGACAGAGGACGTGAATAACTCGTTTCCATGTAATTGCTACTCCATTCGAAAGATTCCAAGAAAGTGGCATCTCACTGGTACGATAAATCTTGTGCATCATGCTCTTGAGAAAAGTGCGTATTCCTTTCATATCAATTGTTGCCTGCTCATGTCCAAGCCCTCGATATCTTCTCGAAGTTCGTCGATATGGGTGAAAAAGCATCCAGAACAATTCCAATGGTAGAGACCATGGTGGTGTCGCTTTGCGCTTCGGTGCTGTTTTAAAATGCCTTCCTATGAGCTTGAGCTTGTCGCGGGCCCAGTCGAGCCCCTGCTGTGACCATGGCGAAGTGATATCCCGATTTTCAAGTCCTTCAGGGCCGTAAAGATAATCATTTACATGTGCTTCCCAACTTGGAATAAGATCCGCTTCCATGCCTCCTTCACCAGATGAAAGTTGGAATCTCCTCTGCAAATCTGTCGATGTTGGGAGTGCCGATGCAACTCGTTTGTAATTTCGCTTGCGAGGTCCTGTGCCTCGTGCAGATAAAAGCCTCGAGAGTCTCGCAACTTCCGCTTTACGTCCCTGCTGATAAGCTTGTAGTAGTTCTGCCGTTACGTCTTGTCGCCAGGCCACCAAGTGTTGTCGCCGTTGCTGTCGCTGTCGTTTTGAAAGATCCCGTAGTTGTTGACATAGTGCTGCTTCTCGCTGCTGCAGGTCGTTACGATTGAAATCTGTACTTCCATTGCATTCAGCGAGTGCAGCAAGTTGTACCCGAAGTTCGCGTCTCTGCTCAAGTAGCTGTAGTGCTTGATCGGCGCGTTGCTTGTATCCAGCCGCTGGTTCGACAGGGGAAGTAAAAAAACTGCTGTGCCTCCTGCGCCATCACCTGCAAGAGATAAGCCCATTCATGATTAGGTGTCTGCTCTTCTCGCCGAATTTGCTGATGCTGAGCTGCTTCTCTATTGAGTCGGTTCTCGACTGCCATGATGAATTCAGCGCGGTGAGTGCCTCTGCGCAATGCGTCCATGAGTGCCTCGCGATTCCATTTGATGGGTTGGTAGGCGAAGCCGTATCGCAATGCAGACTGCATGTGAGTTGCCAGCCCGAGTACTGCCTCCAACGAGTATTGAAGTCGAACGTGTACTGGGATATGGTCACGGTGATACCGAGAGGGTATTGTCTGCAATTCCGTCGCTAATCTACGCAAAGGTCCTGCACTGGTAACCGCCGAGATCAGACATCTTGGTACTAGAATGAAATCCAGCTGTGAGCTAGTGCCAGTAGAACTGTGGAAAGTTGGTCCTCCCCCTCTGAAAGTGTTGATAGGTACCAGATCCAGTTGTTCGAGTACGGGCAGTAAAATGTCAGCTGCATAACGTTGACGTGATGCTGGTGCTGCCGATCCAATACAGTGAGAAGAAATCTCCGTCCATTCCTCCTGCCCTGGTGCTCGTTGAAGTCCGAAGCCTGAGTTGAGGTCTAAACACACTATCGGTAGACATCTGTGCGCACACCAAAGGGGTAATCTCTGCAACCATTTCACCAGCATATCGCAAGTGCGATGGTAAGCTGGGATGCTGCGCGCATGATGTGGGGGAGGAGGAAAGTACAGACTACAGATGCCGAGGTCGAACTGCTTGCTCTTTGCCCTGATGGCCAGGCCTCGCCCAGCTGCTGCTTGAGGAGCCGTCCAGACGCCGACGACGTTCCTGCGGGGGATACGTGGGCCCAGGATGATAGCGCATCCTGCAGATTTATTTGAGTAGGGGCCTCGCTTCCAGCCGTGTGAAACACACCAGCGTTTGGGCCCAGCTCGTCGCCATTGCGCTACCTCCTGTCCCTGCTGCTGTTCTGCTGTACCATTCAAGCAAACGAAATCCATATTGCCTGTGTTGTGGGCGATCTCATGCAATCTCGTCGGGCTGCTGGATGAAAGTGGATTATATTGCAAGATCGAGACGTGCTGCATCTTAGACAAGGCCAGCGGCCGCCGTTGTACTGTTCGCCGATGCACGAGTGAGATGCAATGCAACTTTAGCAGAACATGACACAATTATGAAGTGCGGAAGGGTGCTGGTAGGCTACATTGAAGGATGGGTGGATGAAAGGAGCGCCCGAGCCAGAGCACTTGGGACAGGAGGAGGAGGAGGAGGAGGAGGGCAGGGAGAAGGAGGAGGAAGAGGAGGCAGAGGAGGGCAGGAGGAACAGGAGGAGGAAAAGGAGGAGGATAACGAAGCGGATGAGGAAAAAGGAAAGGAAGAGGAAGAGGAGGGTGGGGGAGGACAATAAGGATGAGGACGACGAGGAGGAGAAGAAGAGGAGGAAGCAAAGAGGCAAGCAAGAGGAGAAGGAGGATGCACATATTTTCCTGAGGCCAGAACAGATGATTCTCGCAGGGCAGCATGCAACTCGAATGCGACCGGACGCGAGCCAGCATCCTCGAGCTAGCTCAAATCTTGCCGCAGCTTACGCACTAGATATACATCTAGACTGAATAGGCACGCAGTGGGATGGCTTAGGGCCCGAGAAAAACCGCTTGAGCCGAGGTGAGTACGGCCAGGCGGGAACTATTAGCATTGCACGCTCTGTGACACTCCGCGGGCTCTGTTTCACAACGCTGCTACATGCACATATTTTCCTGAGGCCAGAACAGATGATTCTCGCAGGGCAGCATGCAACTCGAATGCGACCGGACGCGAGCCAGCATCCTCGAGCTAGCTCAAATCTTGCCAACAACCGCCACTATATGCGATCTGGCGGTTGAGGCGGCACCTTCTCCAAAAGCGACTCGTGAATTAGTTGTGACCATTGCTGCAGCAAGCGGGGCGGATAGGGCTCGGCGACTTGTGTCCACAGGCGGCCTCCGGGAGCCTTGCCCTCGAGGACCTGATGTGGTTTCTTGGAAAAGACACACGCGGCACTGGCACACTGAGCGGCGAGTGGCGACAACAATCCCTTTTTGTTGTCCCAGCACGCTAGGGTGGTCTCCTTCCGCCACGGCATTCCATATTTACAATAGACTGTGTGCGTGAGGGACGCATGGCGCAACAGGCGTGCCAGTCCGGGCTGCCTCCACAGCCAGGACCTACGCGGATTCTCCAATGACACTGGCACTTGATGACGGACGCAAGCTCTGATGATACGAACTGTGGTTCGCAGCAGCTGATTGCCTACCCGGACCTTTTCGGCGTCAGCTCCTGAAAGGCCTGGGAGACCGCAGGGAAACTGGCAGGAGCGCAGCGGGCCCCCTGGAGAGCCAAGCTTGCCTCGGCGCGCTCCTGAAAAACTTGCGCACGGCGTGCCAAGGTGGACCCATCTGGCCTGCGGCACAAGCTTTAGCACCGCACGAATGGATTTCTCTTTGCTCAAGTCCTGTGAGGCACTATCTCTGATGTCCCATGTGCGGGCCCTCCAGCCCCGCTGCTGCAGCGAAGCCGAGAGCCCTCCTTTTCCTGAAAAAAGCTCCAAAACTAGCGGCCTGGCACGTGCACCAGGCTCAGACGAAGTCACACGAGGCCTACGTCCCGGAGCAGCCGAGCGAAGCCGCCGGTGCGCCCGTCCTTCAGGGCGCCCTCGAGCAGCCGGTCGGCCTCGGCCAGCAGCAGCTGCCGGCCGCGGTCGAGCGAGGCCAGGCGGCGCGTCACCCTGGAGCCCTTCTCGTAGCGCCTGACGCTGAGGTCGGACGCCCAGCGGCCCCTGCGCTCGATGGCCTCCAGGCTCCTTGCCTTGGTGAGCCAATCGTGGGACGGCCCGGAGTGGCGAAGGATGTACGGCGTCAACTCTCAGCTCTCGAGCCCGACGAGAGCGGCTGCCTCCTTGAACATGGCATTGACAGCCGCGCCCGACCACGGAAAGGAGCTCCATCGGCTGCGACTGGGATGCGATCTGCTCCAGCAGGGGCCCGACAAAAGACCTTGCGGGGCTGTCGAGCAGGATCGAGTCGTTGAAGCCCCTTGTCTTGGTTGACTGCAGCTCCTCCTCGGGCCTCAACACCAGGGACGTGAAGCGGTAGTCGCCCCCGGCATGCGGCTGCGCCGGCACCACGTGGTCCGCCCGGAGGGTCAGCAGCTCCCCTGGGCGCAGGTAGGCGCCCGCCGCGAGCACCACGCCGAGGGCCGCGCGCCGCTGGCCGAGGTAGATCAGGGCCACCGCGATGGCCGCCACCGCCGCCCAGGGCGCCGGCGCCCGCGTCAGCGGCGGCACCAGCCTCCGCCAGCCCTGCAGCGCCCTCGCCACGCGGGGCAGCTTCAGCAGCCTGCCCGCGTGGTGCAGCCTTGGGTCGCGATGCCCTATCGCGGCCAGCAGCTTGGCCCCGGCTGAACTGCAGCTCCATGTACTCCACCACGGCCTCCTCCAGCTCGACGTCGCTCGCCGTGGTGAGCCCGTGGGTCCTGCAGAAGACGTCGAACCGCTCCAGCCTCCTCTCGTAGTCCTGCCTCGTCTTCTGGGTGATGCTCTCCTGCTCCAGCGTCGTGAGCCCACCAGTCCCGACCGACCGCGCCCTCGCCGCCTCGATCGCTCGCGCGAACGCCGGTGGGGGAGGGCGGTCGCGGCGGGGCGCACGGGATCGGCGAGACCTCGTCGATGAAAGCAGCCGCCGCTCGGTCGAGGATGCCGGGCCCGCTGCCGCTCTGACCACAGGGGCCGGGGCAGGCAGACGGCGGGGCGGGGGCCCGTGGCTCTCTGGCAAGGCGCCGCTCCTCCGCAGCACCCTCTCGCGCGGGGGGCTGCCAGGCCCGCGCGCGCCATCCCTCTCGGGAAGCGCTCGAGCAGGCCTCGGCGGCCTCTCCAGCGGGTTGGCGTCGCCAGGCGTCCAGCGCAGCAGCAGCCGCCTTCTCAGCAGGCGAGTCGAACCATCGGCTAGGCTCATCAGCTGGGTTGAGCTCGCTGACCACCCAGCGCACGCTGGTACGAGAGAAGGAGGCCAGCGACAAGGCGGCCCACTTTCTGAGCAGAACCAGCACCGGAGGTGACACCGCTCGGCCCTTCTCGAGGCTCAGGACCATACCCATGTTGTCGCACAGAAACAAATGGCGATGACGATGGTATCTAGCTTGACGACACTTACGCCTCCACCCGAACAGCACGGCCCTGAGCTCCTTAAGATGGATGGCCTCTTTCCTATGATATCTTCTTGCCTGGATGGTCCTCCACGAGCCCTCGCTGATGAACCCCTTGGGGATCTCTGGGAACTCCCGATTGATGCTGATGTCCACGTCCCCGCCGATGAGGTCTCCTAAGAAACCTGCAGGGCAGCCTGACTCCTCGCCCCAGCAGCCCTCAGCAGCGGCCCCAGCGGCCCAGGGGGCCCCAGCCAGAGGTAGATCCCGAAGCGCTTGACGACGAGGGGCACCACTGAGGCCTTCAGGAACCCGTAGAGGCAGAGCCGGGTGTACATGATGTAAACCTTGGGGGCCCATGGGGTCGGCACCTGGGAGCCCCGGCGGAGGAGGAGGTAGAGGTCGCTCGCGTTGACTCTCACCCGAGCGCTCGAGCAGTGCTGCCTCGCGCGGGCGCAAGGCTGACTGGATGCGAAAGCGCCAGCGCTCACTCCAGCGACCGACCTCCCGCACGGCCGACGGCTCCATGTCGGCCTCCTGCACCGCATAGCCGCGCAGCGTGGCATCGGAGCAGGTGACGCGCCCGGACCACGGCAGATCGAACTGGACGGCCAGCAGCGGCATGAGGTGCAGCGCGTTGGCCAGCTCCTGCCGCACCGAGGGCCAGAGCGGCACGGGCGCCCTGTAGTGCTTCCGGGCAAAGTCGTAGGCCGAGCGGAAGACGCACAAAGCGGAACGATGCAGCAGCATGGCATGCGTGAAGTGGCCGATCATCTGCTCGATCTCCCGGCCCGCCACGCGCCGGCGCCGCAGGAGCGCCTGGGTGCCCAGCCCGAGCCCCCAGCGCTTGGCCCGCGCCAGCCGGGCCCGCAGCTTGATGCCATCCAGCTCCAGGCCCAGCGCCTCCACGACCGTCTTGCTCTCCTCGACCTCGTGCAGCGGCAGCCCGGCCTCGGCCATCACCTTGGCCGCCTGCCTCCTCGCACCCCGGGTGGCGCCCGGTCGCGACGAGACGAAGATCTCGTTGTCCACGTAGACGACCCTCGGCACCTGAGGCGAGTCCACGCTCGGAGCGATCTGCCCGTCCACCAGCTCGCTCTCGATGCCACCGAGGCCTCCTCGCCGCAGCAGCTCGCGGTGCGCCTGCTGCGTCCAGCGCATGGCCCACGCGAAGCCCATGGGCAGCACCCGCAGGCATGGGTAGACCCACGCCCCCTCTGAGACCGCGAGGCCGTCGACCACCTTCACGCCCAGATGCCTAGCCCTGAGCGGGCGCATGCCGAACCACGGCACCATGTAGTCCGGCACGCGGAACTGGTAGAAGCAGTCCGCGATGTCCTGGATCGAGAACTCCAGCTGGGAGCCGTCCTCGACCTCCATGTTCACTAGCGCCGCGGTGGGCGCCATGTGGATCGTCGGCGGCCGATTCAGCGCCTGGTTGACAGCCCGAGCGTCCACAATGAGCCTCAGGCGGCCCGACTTCTTCTTCACGAAGAAGACTCCCACTTCAAAATCGCGACGAGTCCGCAGCTCCACCATGCCGCGGTCCAGCAGGTCCTGCACGAACCGCTGGTACTCGTCCGTGTCGGATTGCAAGGTCTTATCCCAGTACACCTTGGTGGCGCCCGGGCGAACCTCTTCAGCGCGAAGCATCATCGAATTCTTACCGTCGATCACCTCCTGGCGGTCTGGCTCCGGCAGCACCTCCAGCAAGCTGACGCAGCCCGCCGACTCAGGCCACGAAACCAGGCCGCGATCATACGGCGCAACCACAGTGGGGCCGTCGGGGCCATAGCCCAGACTACCCGTGCCGAGCAACTCCACGAGGGCTGCCTCGGGGCTGGGGGCGTCGTCCGGCGGCTTGTCGTCCGACACGGCCTGCCAGAGCATGTCCACAGCAGAAAATTGTGCCTCCGAAGGACGGGCCTTCGAGCAAAAGTCGCCCTCCCCGTGCAGGTTGTTCAGGGCGGCGATGCAGTCATTCACGCGGCGGCCAACAGCAGACCTGCGGCCGATCCTCTGGGCGGAGCGGCGCGGCAACGACCGCGCGCCCCGAGCCGGCGGCGCGGGCACCAAGGGCAAGGGCAGCAGATCCCTCGGCACCATGCGCTCCAGCGGCCTGTTGGCACCGGCTGGGCACGGCCAACTCCCAGCCTCGAAGCCCATCATGACTTCTTTGGGGGAGCGCGCGCCAGAGCACGCTCCTCCGCAGCCTCGCGCTCCTCCTTCAAGATGGCCGAATCCCGGGCCGCGGACTCCGCGACCCACTTCAGCAGCTCCGGGCTGATGATGGCCCCGCCCGTCCTCCTGGTGCGGCCCAGGTAGTAGTCCTGGGAATCGAAATCCTTGATCGTCTCCTTCTTCTTCTTGATCTTGTGCTCCAGGAACTGCAGGTGCCTCGCGAGCGCCTCCATGCTCGCCAGGTTGGCCACGTCGACCTGGTCGTAGGTGCAAGCCAGCTCCAAAATCTCCGACAGCATTTCGTGGGCCACCACGCTATGCTCGTCATCGTTGAGCTTGTTCTCGTGCTTCCAAGTGGTGTGGCGCTGGACCGGGCCACCGCTTTGCTTGGCAATCTCCTTCACCACGTACAAGGCAGTCCGGGGCCCAGACAGCGCCCAGTCCTCGAACTCGCACTGCTCCGATGAGTCCGCCACACACTTCAGGTCCTGGAAGCGGCGGCCGGCCGCGTCCCGCTTGATCGCCAGCGTGCGGGCGTCCTCGGCGGGCGGCGGCGTCGGCGCCCCCCCGACAGCCTCCGGCGCCGCGGTCGCCACGAAGGCCCGCATGGCCTCGTCCGCGGTCTCGCCCGGCGCCAGCCTGACCAGGGCCGCCGACTTGCCGCGACGGCCCAAGTCGTAGAGCCCGTGCTGCCCGAACGCCATGAAGTTCTCCGACGGCGCGTCGAGCGAGTCCGGGAGCGAGTACACCGCGCCCCGCTTGACGTCGCCCTCGGGGGCCACGCAGACCCAGTCGGCCCGCTCGCCAGTCGCGCCGGAGCCTGCGGCGCCCGCCCCCGAGGGAGCGCCCCCGTCAGCCAAGGGCGGAGGCTCAGGCTCCTCGGCGAGCCCCCGCGCCGCGCGCAGCTCCACGGCCTGATCCTCCGCCGCGTCGATCCACGATTGCAGCGCAGCGCCGCGCGGCCGCTCCGTGAGGCGGTAGACCGGCTGGCCCTTAGCTGCCCCAAGGCCGGCCGGCAAGCCGCCCCGCGGGCCCGCCTGCCGGAAGTCAGCCACGCTGCGCGTGTCGATCTCCTCCTCGTACATGTCCTCGTCGGGGGTCAGCACCAGATACTTCGCCCCGCCCAAAGAAGCGAGGATCAGCCTCTCATGCCACGGTTCCCCTGCCTCCCCGTAGTCGAGGAACACCACGTCCCCTGCCTTCAGGTTGAGCGCCCGGCGCGCCAGCGACTTGGCCGGCATGCTGAACGGGAGCGGCCGCGACGGGCGCTAGCTTCACCTGCACGGGCGCGCCCGCGACGGGCGCCAGCTGCTCCGGCCGCTCGACTCGCGGAGGCGCCGGCGTGGCCTTCCAAAAGCCCCACAGGCAGATCCGCACCGACACCAAGCACGTGCAGATGGTCGCCTGCACCAGCAGCACCGCGAGGACGCCGAGCAGGATGCCCAGGCCCCCGGCGACGGCCGCCGCGCCCAGCGGCACCGGCGCCCCCCAGACGCCGGTCTCGGAGAGGCAGGCGTTGGCGCTGGTCGACAGCGCCAGGGCACAAGGAGAGACCTGAAATCCGCTGCTGGCGGCCTCGAAGGTGGAGGCTTTGGAGAAGGTGGCCCAGCCGAAATCTCCCATTCGCCGCCCCGAGAAAAACCGCTTGAGCCGAGGTGAGTACGGCCAGGCGGGAACTATTAGCATTGCACGCTCTGCGACACTCCGCGGGCTCTGTTTCACAACGCTGCTACAGGAGGAGGAGGAGGAGGCAAGGAGGAGGAGAAGGATGAGGGCAAGGAAGCAAGGCAGGAGGACCTCCCCTTGGCACCCCCTCCAGCACCCCCCCCAGCGCCCACCCGGCACCCCCCCCCGGCCCCCCCCCCCCCCCCCGGGGAGCCCACCCCCACCCGCATGCCCCCCCCCCCCGGCACCTCTCCTCTCGGCGCTGGGATCACCGCCCTACTTGATTACTACTTCGCGCGGTTATTATCCAATTGAGGCGCTTATATCTCAGTTGGCTAACATAGTTGCCAACCGACTTATCGATCTAGGTTGTGGGATATTGCGAACTACTTCGTATCGTGGTTATGCTAACCTGCTAACCTGGTTAGCTTGGTTAGGCTTACCCGCTTACCTAACCTGGCTAACCCTAGTTCGCCGCCGCAGGGAAAATCAGCCTGACGAGGGACCCAAGCTAATGCAGGTGCGAGTACCGCAGTAGTGAATCACTTTTTCGGTGGCGATCCCTATGAGGCAACGAACCGTGCTAGGGGTGTGCCAAAATGAGTGGCGCGGTACACAGCGCGAACGAAAACGATTGATCTGAGTACGTAGGGAGACTGAGCGCGGGCGAATATGAGCGCGAGTGCGTCTGACTGTTAATGAATCTGCGTGGGAGCGAGTCTACGCGCATGAATGCGCGTATGACAAAGCATGGTGCACTTGTATATGACTGTCAATACTTTTAGAATGACTGCCTCTGAGTACTCGCGACGCTGGGCGTGGCCCCGACGGCATCGCCCGCGCGCCGCAACGCCAATGTCGGCGCGCCCCCCCGCGAGGATCGCTGCCGCTTCCTCCCCTTCTTTTGCTCCCTCTTCGCCCGCGCACTCAAAAGTCCAAGGCTGCGGGCGCAGCGCAGCGCGGAGTCCCCGCGACGCGCGCAGGTTGCCCCGGAGGGGTCCCAGCGACGCGCGCGGGCCGTCCGCTGCGCTGAGCAAAGGGAGCTAGCTGGCTTGCTGATAGCGGGCAAGGCTCTTGCCGCTGGGCAAAGCGACGACGGGCGAGCGAAGCGCTGGGCAGAACGCGGCACGGAGCCCCCGCGACGCGCTCTGGTCGCCCCAGAGGGGTCCCAGCGACGCGCGCGGGTCGCTGGCTGCGCGGAACAAGAAAAGCTAGCTGCCTGGCTGGGACCTTCAGTGGGGCTCCATATGGGGCCACGAAACGCTGCACTGGGCGAGGGAGACGCATGCGGACTGCGCCGCGGGGACCTTGAAACGTGCGAGGGGCGTGCCGGAATGAGCGGCGGGGGCGCACGCGGACTGTGCCACGGAGACCTTCGGCGGAGCTCCTGTGGGGCCACGAAACGTGTGAGGGGTGGGCCGAAATTAGTGGCGGGGGCGCATGCGGACTGTGCCACGGGGGCCTCCGGCGGAATTCCTATGGGGCCGCGAAACGCGCGAGGGGTGTGCCGACATGGGCGCGTGGGACGCATGCGAACTGCGCCGCGGAGACCTTCGGTGGAGCTCTCTCCCTATGGGGCCACGAAGCGCGCGGGGGGTGGGCCGAAATGAATGGCGGGGGCGCACGCGGACTGTGCCACTGGGACCTTCGGCGGAGCTCCTATAGAGCCACGAAGCGTGTGAGGGGTGTGCTGAAATGAATGGCGGGGGCGCATGCGGACTGCGCCGCGGGGCCCTTCGGCGGAGCTCCTATGGGGTCACGAAGCGCGCGAAGGGCGCGCCGAAATGAGTGGCGGGGGCGCACGCGGACTGTGCCGCGGAGACCTTCGGCGGAGCTCCTATGGGGCCACGAAGCGCGTGAGGGGTGGGCCGACATGAATGGCGGGGGCGCATGCGGACTGTGCCATTAGGACCTTCGGCGGAGCTCCTATGGGGGTCATGAAGCGTGCGAGGGGGTGCCCAAAGGAATGGCGGGGGCGCATGCAGACTGTGCCACGGAGACCTTCCGCGGAGCTCCTGTGGGGCCACGAAGCGCGCGAGGGGTGGGCCGACATGAATGGCGGGGGCGCATGCGGACTGTGCCACTGTCACCTTCGGCGCAGCCCTTATGGGGCCACGAAACGCGCGGGGGGCGCGCCGAAATGGGTGTGCGGGACGTGCGCGGGCACACCCACTGGGACCTTCGGCGGGGCTCCATATGGGGCCACGAAGCGTGCGAGGGGTGTGCCGAAATGGGTGTGCGGGACGCATGCGGGCACACCCGCTGGGACCTTTGGCGGAGCTCCCTATGGGGCCACGAAACGTGCGAGGGGTGTGCCGAAATGGGTGTGCGGGACGCCTGCGGGCACGCCCGCTGGGACCTTCGGTGGAGCGTGCGAGGGGTGTGCCGAAATGGGTGTGCGGGACGCATGTGGGCACGCCCACTGGGGCCTTCGGCGGAACTCCCTATGGGGCCACGAAACGTGCGAGGGGTGTGCGGAAATGGGTGTGCGGGACGCATGCGGGCACGCCCGCTGGGACCTTCGGCGGAGCTCCATATGGGGCTGCGAAACGTGTGAGGGGTGTGCCGAAACGTGTGCGCGGGACGCCTGCGGGCACACCCGCTGGGACCTTCGGCGGAGCTCCCTATGGGGCCACGAAGCGTGCGAAGGGTGTGCCGACATGGGTGTGCGGGACGCATGCGGGCACACTCACTGGGACCTTCGGCGGAGCCCCCTATGGGGCCACGAAGCGTGCGAGGGGTGTGCCGACATGGGTGTGCGGGGCGCATGCGGGCACACCCGCTGGGACCTTCGGTGGACCTCCCTATGGGGCCGCGGAACGTGCGAACTGTGTGCCGAAATTTGCGTGCGGGACGCGTGCGGGCACACCCGCTGGGACCTTCGGCGGAGCTCCCTATGGGGCCACGAAACGCGCGAGGGGCGTGTGCCAAAATGTGCGTGTGCGAGACGCATGCGGGCACGCCGGCTGGGACCTTCGGCGGAGCTCCCTATGGGGCCGCGGAACGTGCGAGGGGTGTGCCGAAATGGGCGCGCGGTGCGCATGCGGGCGCGCCCGCTGGGACCTTCGGCGGAAATCCCTACGGGGCCACGAAGCGTGCGAGGGGTGTGCCGAAATGGGTGTGCGGGGCGCACGCGGGCGCGCCCGCTGCGACCTTCGGCGGAGCTCCCTACGGGGCCGCGAAACGTGTGAGGTGTGTGCCGAAATGGATGATGACGACGATGATGATGATGACGCTGATGACGGTGGGAGGAGGGCGGATGGGGGGGGCAGCGGGAGGAGGAGGAAGGAAGGAGGAGGGGACGCGGGGCGCTGTCTCTTCAAAACGAGGACCCGACGCCGCAGGATGGCTGGGAAAGAGAGAGTGAGCGGGGAGAGGAGGAGGAGGCGGAGGAGCGGGAGGAGGAGGACAGCGATGGGGGAGGAGGAGGAGAACAGGACAGAGGAGGAACACTGGTTCGTCTGCATCGCTGGCGGCATGGGGGAACACGCAATCCACGTAGCGTTCGTTCGCCAGGATTTCTGAAGTGCACCGCCCCAGGGCGGCGACTTCCAAACCACCAGCGCCGAGACGAGAGCATCATCGAGTTTTTGTTCAAGCAAATGTAACCGACTGCAGGTCAAGCGAAGCTTCAGTCCTGCGGGGCACGAGCGCGAAACTGGCGCGAACCTCGGCGTGCCTCCCTGCGTCGCATTCCCACCTGCCGTGCCTTCCCGTCCCGAACCCAGTCGTAAACCCACGCCTTAAAAGCTGACCTCTGAAGCTTGGCTGACGAAATCGCCTTCGCCAAACCCCCGTCCGAGGCCCCTGCCAACAATGCTTGCGTCGATAACGCAGATTGCATGTGCAAGCCCAGGTGCGCCCAGAACTTTGCCCCCCACGCTGTGCGAGTGCCTCCTCAATATCTCCTAGCGGGACACGCGCGGTAGAAGCATGTCTCCAACCTGCGCGTGGACATACACTTGGCAAAAACAAACTTGGCCGCCCACGTCCTAAGCAACGGTGCCGTTCACCTGCGCAATGCGAAAGTCTATTCGCACCGCCCTCGATGATAAGACGGGGGCAGACGGATCTAAGCGCAGAGAGGCCCCAAGTGCAGCTGCAAATGTTGCACTGCCTTGCCGAGAAGACACCAACCCTGAACTTACTAGTGTGCCTTGCTGAATTTCGAACAAAATGATGTTCCGTGGTCTTTTGCATCAGGCCTCGTTCCGATCCCTTGGGATTCGAACGAGGAGTCATAAATCGCCCGCGTACCTTGTGCTTCCGCCCCATGACGAACGCGCTTAAAAGAACGCCACGCCTGCGAATCTGATCGCCCAAGTGCACTGGGCAGTGGGATTTTGGCTTCCACAAACAGAAGCCGCATGCTTGCTGGTGCAAGCACAAATGATCAAGGATGGCCTCGTTAATTTGCTCTGGCGGAACACCGCCGCTGTTCGCGAGCTGCAACAGCTCCACCACGCTGCAAAGTTTCAGCGCACTGATCGCCTCCTTCTGAATCATACTACAGCCGTCAGCACGCATCACCACGCCCATCACATATTTCTGAAATACAGGCGCCGCCGAAATCCATTCACTCACACCGCCCCATGTGCATTTTCCCCACGCAAGTTTTTTTGCGTGGGCGTAGCCCTGTGGCCAGCAAATATGAGCGATATAGTTATGAAACGATGCGTTGCCAAGGTGTTTGTTGTCCTTCTGCAGCCTCCTCATAAATTCGCGCACTTCGGATGCCATCGCCCCGTCCACAAAGTAGACGTGCATCCAATCCCACCCCCAGACTTCTGTCATTGAAAACGCAAGATCGTCGTCTTGTAAAAGGCCACTGGCGACATCGCTGCACCCAAACAGTTGTTTCTAGGTTCTCCAGGTCCCCGGGGTTATCA